TGTTTTAAGAACATTTACAACAAAACTGACAACTCTTTAAAATAGACATATACATACAATCTTTAAATAGTAGATTATAGTAGTATATCTTTAAGTCTGTATACTACCGTTGGTTCCCCTAATTGGTATTTATTATTTAAACAGTGCCCGCTTATGAACAAAGTGCTTTAAATATGTATAACATGGATTAATTGAAGAACATATCACTGGCCTGCGCTTTGCTTGCTTGTTTGCTCCCGAATATGAAATGTTGCAAGGCGAAGCCCGAGCGAAAACCAGTAAGCCGCATCATTTATAAAGATTTAAGGTCGAGCTCCGCTCGAATTAATGATGACCCCTTGGCCTGGAGGACCCAACACAGCTCTTTGCCCTCGGCCCTCCAAGACCCCGTCCGCAGCCACTCACGTCCGCACTTACATGCACCCAGATTGAACGGCAAAAGACTCCCAATCGTAACGAAGTTATGTCACGGCCAGAGCCAACGTCCATTCCCGCTGTCGATTGTGGTGGAAGGTCATATCAAAAGGCGATTTAATGAAATTACGGTCGGTATTAATCACTGTCAGGGCTAATTGAGTATGAAAACAAGCGGAGCACGGCGGGGCCGCCACATAAGGATGCCCGCCAGCATCCCCCTCGAATCAGTGTCCTTGTCGGCGTCAGAATTCATTAGGCGCAGGCGGCCGGACAAAAATGCAACCTGACATCTTAAAAGGGTTCGCCTGCCGTCGCCTACTCCTCTTGGGCTCCGTGTCCTCATTTCCCGCTCCCCATTCCTCGACTGCGGATCACGTGTGTCTGCTGCACACATAGAGCCCGGCACACATAGGTTTTATTATTTCGGACGACTGTTGCGCACTTCCAGTGCTTCGGCACACCCATTTGCTTCCGTTGGCCCGCGGATGGGGGTTTCTCGGCGCACATCGTTTGTCAATCGCAAATTGTGAGCTGACAGGCACAAATGGCATTGGAAGGCGGTTTTATTTGCCGGCGATTGTGGCAAATGAAGTGAATCCATTTTCGTGATTTCTCGTTTGGCCAGCAGGATGAGCTACCGAAACGATTGCGGACAGGCTGACCGCCAAGCGCCGAGTCCCCTGTTTTTAATGCCTAATGTAATCAGGGCTGATGGCAGTTGCCAAAAATAAACACTTGCCTCATGCAAAATGAAATTCTGTGCAACGAGCAATGTCGACAGCTTTCAGCTGTCAGGCCGGTGAGTGAGCGGCAGGGGCTGCCATTAACTTATTGAATTTAAGCCAATTTAGCAGCAAGCACTTAGCAGACCACACAGCAGCACAATTGCCGTGAGCATCCTTCGGCCAGAATCCAAAATCCAGTGTCCAATGTCCGATGTCCGACGTCCAACGTCCGATGTCCGTGTGCCACGTCGAGTGGCGGGCCAATTTAATGTGGCAGCCCGCCCGCCCCAACTAAATCAAGCTGTGGCCACTGGCCACCTGTCAAGTGCATGTAGATAAATTTCCGAGCTAATGGTGCCGGGCGCCCAAGGAAACGCGGAGGAGCCTCTGCCGCATTCGAATCCGCACCAGGAGCTGGATGAAACCGGGGGAAAAGTGCAGCCGGCAGCGGCCTAGGCTGCTACAAAAATACAAGCAATCTGGGGCGGGTCAGCCGCCCGTCTGTGGCAGGTCGCTCTTCTCACCGTTAACTGAATTGAAAATCACAAAAATTGGTCATTCCGGCACAAAGAGCAGCGCAGCGGAGCGCCCAGTAGTGGCAGCGATAAATGCTGGCCAAGTGCATGGAAGGAAGCGCTAAAACAACATGCTGGCAAATTCAATTCCGCCGCTTTAAAGGCTCGGCGCTGAAAGGCTTTTGCGGAGCCAGCGGGCCAAGTAAAGTACGGAAAGTAAGGCAAGTGGGGCGTAGTATGCTCTGCAAAAAATGGCGTTCGGGCTGTTTTCACTTTGCTCGCTACGAGGTTTTTCCGGCTGTCTGCCTGTTTAGATAAACAGAAAGTTTTAAGCGCAACTCAAAGAGGGAGTTCGCTCCGATTCGAGCAACATCCCGGGAGCCCCAACGAGCACACACATTCACATTAATTGATTAAATGCTTGAAACACTGGGCCAACAACGTGCATTGTTTGGACTCTCAAAAATAAACAGGACGAGCGGAGCATCTGCAGATAGTCAAATAGTGGAAATCGAGCTATGTGCCGCAATGCAGCCGAGTGTGCATAATGCCATTATGGACGAATTTCAAAGGGACTCTCTCGCCAGCTTTGCAGACCCACATGGTACCGGGATGGAAATCAGGTTTATAAATAGATCCGGGTCGGACTCGGGCTTAATTTGCCTCACATTTCAATAAACCCAGCCAAGGAGCGTCGTGAGCTCATAACTCAGGGGGGCACTTGCCAAAGGACCCGGCCACGGAGCCCTGGATTTATATCGCAGTTCGTGGCACTCATTTTTAAATCTCCCAGAATTGGTGCAAATTTATGAGTCCGAGAATAATGAAAGCATAAACTTGTCAGTCACACATAGGCACATAAATCGCAGAGGGTCCGCTCCTTTCCCCATTTCGTTTCCCATTCTGGTTCCCTGCGTCGGTTGGGGCGTGTAATCCTAGCTCGTAAAGTTCAATAACCTTGAGGGGATTAGGCAGCGGTACCCGAGCAGGAAGTGCACTTATTTATGGCTCCCTAGCATATCTGCTGACCTCTTGCGGGCCACATAAATAAAAATAAAATAATCACTGGCATAAAAAGGGGCTCGTTCACAATTCAAATGAAATTGCCCGTGCTGTTGGCCCTCTTTCAGTGGTCAAGGATGTGCTGCTCCTTTTTAAATAACACTCTGCTCCAAGGTGTGCTCATGCATGAAAACGGCCATGGATACGGGCGGCATCGGGAGGAGGGGGGAGAGTCTGCCCTGGAATTGGGGACATTAAGGATCCAGCCATTTGACCACTCAAAGTTTCGGCAAGGACACACGAGCTCACAATGTGCCTCATTTTGAATAAATTAAATTTGTCTGCAGCTGGCTATAATAAGCGGTCATTTCATGCCCGGAGTGTGGATGCTGGGACGGATGAACGGCCGTACATGGGTTCTCGGATGCATGACAGACATGCTTCAATAATTTCATTGGGGCCAGGGCGGGATCCGCCGGCGGGGGCAGGCCCGCGGCTAATTAGGCGTTTTAAATGTCAGTCGAGGCGGCTTAAAAGGGATAACACAAAATCTTTTCAAAACATTGCCAAAGGCGTCCGGGCTTCCAGTTTCGAGCACAATATGGCCAAAACAAAGCTCAATATGCTCATAATCAGATGAAGCCGCCAAGCCGCCCATTAATTATGCATGTGTGTGGGTGGGCGGCAGCATATGGACAACCTAAGCTCGGCAAAAAGCTGTAGCTCAAAGTAGCCGCCATTTAATGGGCTTAATTAAATAAACAAATGGCAGCGCGCATTTGCCCGTGGCCGCATTAAAAGTGTATGCAACACGAGGCGCGAGAAATGCGGAGCGGCCAAAGGCTTGGGATAGGGCTCCGATATGGTTGCTGGCTAAGTCCCTGTGAACCGAGCAACCCGCCAACTACGCCTGCATAATGAAACGCTGCGAGAGCATATTAATGGATTTTAATTTGTCAGTGCGTTCGCTTCGTGGCGTCCAGCGTCCTGCGTCCTGCGCCCAGCTCGCAGTCTCTTTCGCTAATCGAATATTTAATTAGTTTGATGCCATCCCAAATCGGCTCGAAGATTAGCATAGGACTTGGGGGAATTATGCCCCGCTCAGGGAAACAGAAGGCAGCCAAAGCCAAAGCCGCAGCCAAAGTCAAAGGCATTTGCGAGATTTCTGATCGGCCGCACAAAGAAACCGGTCGAGGGAAAAGGTTGCTGCGACCCCCGGAATGACCTCAAATACAAGATTGGGAACAAGAACTAAATATCTTAAGTGCTTTTATGTGCCGCGGCCCCACGGGTCGCTCGCCAGAATGACGGCTATGATGGGTCGGGATGGTAGCGCCAGGACCCTTCGTCCTTTCTCGTGGCGCTTTCTTTGCTTTGGCTTGCTTTGCTTTGCTTTATTACACTCAAATCATTTTCAAGAGTCAACTTCACCGGTCTCTGCCCGCCGAAAAGGGGTTGAAAACAATTCACAAAATTTATTTTCATTAATTTTAATTCGCTGCAAAACTTTTCTGCCCCAGCCGCCAACGAGCTGGAGACAGGGTTGCGAAGGGAGGGGGGGCGGAGTCAAATAATTACTTTTTCGGATTGGACGAGCGTGTCCTTTTTTAATTATTTGCCCAAAGCTTTGTTGCTTTAGGTTCCCCTGCGTAGGTCTGGCGAAGCGAGCATAATTAATTTATTTTATTTTCCCCGAACAGTTCCAATAATTAATTGAAACAGCTTCGCGAATGTCTCCCTGATATGCGAGCAGCGCATTCCCATTGCCTGTTGATACGCAGATTAGAGGACTTCCGTGGTCCGATGACGAGGCATGGGTTCCAGAGCACTTTGAGCGAGCGATGACGACGATGTCGTAGACATTGATTGCACTTAAGCCCCGACAAAAGGCGCGGCACAGACTCCAGCTTCGATTCCCATTCTCGATCGGATCCGGATTCCGATTCGGAGTCGCAATCCCACTCCGTCCGCCTCTAATGTCAATAGCACGCAAATTGCTGACGCCGAGGCTGACATGCCTGACTCAGCAGGCGGCAATCAGCGAAGTCGGCTCTGTGTCACTGGAGGAATGTGTGTCTGTGGGCATCGTCACCATCGAGGATATACACATCCTTCTCTCGGGCGGGTCTGTTTTGCGATGTGATTTCGTGTGTGTTGAGCTTGAGTTGCAGGCACAGCTGGCAGACACAATGGCCGATGAAAACATGGAGCTATTAACTCGCATTTGGAGGCCGAGGCCTGCACTTTGAACCGAATAATCCTTGAACAATGCTCAAGTCTGCTTGAGCTCATCGCCCTCTTTACCCACTCACTGATTTCGATATTTGTTTCTTTTTTCTAGGTAGCGACAGACGGGCCGCATTGATTGACTGGTAAGTAAACGAGTGGGAACCTCAGCCCGGGATCGATGGCTCTATCGATTTGCGGCCCACATTACGCATACGCCAGGTGTTCGCAGCGTGTCCGACCACCATTTAAATCCATATCATGCACATTCCAGGGAGTGGGGGCGTAGGGCCGGCTTGGCACATGGAAATTAATTGCAAGGCTTTTGGTTAATGAACTAGTTGAACAGAACCCGATAACATCGGCTGAGGTCAGAGTAGAAAAACAGCACGAGAACGAACGGCAACGGCCAAAAGGACAATTTGCAATGTGACGTCAAAACAATTACGTGCAGAAATACGCTTGATAATAAAATGAAGTGACCTGGCTCGAGCTCGAGCCGGTCTCTCTCTTTCCCTGGAAGGCAGAAACGTGTTCAAGTGTTGACTTTTATAAATTGTGCACTCGTTTGTCCGCCCCCTCCCCCGACAGGGTCTTCCTTGAGCTCGGCCAGGTGAGAATGTGTTGGCGTGAGCCCAACTTGGTCAGCAATTAATTGCGTCAGCAGGATAGACCGGCAGGCGGCCACTCGTCCAGATAGGAGCGCCAGCTCATCTGTTCTCCGACGAGTTTAAACGGCATTTAAAGCGCATTTGGTTGGCCCAATCGACTTCCATCGCAGGACCTGGATAAGCCCCCCCGTCACCCCGACCCCTGACCCACTTCGCTGATCTCTCGCTGCTCGGCACGCTGCTTTTGCTGCTGGTAGGCGGCAGATTTATATTTGGTTGCCACGCCTGACTGCCTACGAATGACATTTAAGCGCGGAGAAGTGTCCGCTTTAGTTTATCTCGCCGGGCTGAGCGTTAAAATAATTCCAGGCTTTCCCCTACTTTCCTGCTGAGTCCCCAGTTCGGTTCTGTTACTGCTGGCAATGCGGTTTTGCAGCCCTTGCCGCAATTAATGCCAACAGATTAATTATACGCATGGCTGCACACTCCGCGTTGGAACGCGCTCCTTCTGGTTCTGGGAAAAGTCTGCTTTTGTTTTTAAATTTGTGTTAAAAACAAAGGCGGAAGACATAGGACCCGTAAAGCAGGCAAAAAAGGAACTGGCTCCTAATGAGTGGACATTAGCCGATACTCTGGTCAGCGCAGGAACCCTAATTTGGTTGGATTTTGCAGGCGGGGGATTGCGCATAATCAAGCTGTCAAATGCTTGGCTCCCTTTGTTGCCCGGAAACTTTAAGCATATTTTAAGCGACTGCAATTTGGTATTGATAGGTTCCGGGCAGCAGATGTGGCAATAACAACTTTATCCACCCATCGGGGAGTAAAGGGGAACTACGATAAATCTTGCGACGCTGGCGTGGTTGGCATTAATGCTTGGCATCCCATGTGCAAAGATGTCAACTTGTGCCAGCGGCGAACAAAGCCGGCGCCAACTACTTCGAGGACTTCAATCAGAAACAGAGCCACTCGGAGAATTATCGGAGATCCCTAAGAAGGCGTTTGGGCGTGCCTAGGGCCTCGAAGCCCAAAGTCTTTTGCGATGATTTATTTGCATTTCCCGTGAGGCCAGCGAGGTGTGATTTATGATCCTCCCCCCCACTATTTATTAAAACAAAAAATTTGTCTCCTTTTCTTATTATTAGGGTCAGCAGACCACATTAATTGCGTATTAAAACCAGTTCGGGAAACATTTGGCCACTATCTTTGCTAACGGCGCCTATTTCAATGGCTTCCTGCCATTAAAAAGTCACTGTTGGTGTTAATGCCCAAACGACAGTAATTTTCGCATTCTCGGAAACATTAAGTATTAACAAGAAAGAACGTTGTATCCGATTCACCGACTATACGATACCCACCACTCACTGCCTCAATAAGAAAAACAACATGGCACGGGTGTTTCTTTTCTTTAGCCTAAACAGAAGTTACCATATCGTTTGCTCAATTTTAAAGTATCATAACTAAAATGAAATATATTGTGGTGTTTGGTTTCTTAAATAATTCGCGACTTTTAGCGCTTCGTGGACAATGGCCTACAAATCAGGCACTGATAAAACACAATTTTTTTACTTGTTAGTATCTTCCACACTTGCTAAAAGACTGGTTCTCGCAAAGGCATTACTAATAAAATTGTACAAGCGGTAATTGCTGTACAAATCGAACCTTTACTGTAATCATCAGTAATACGTTTTTTACTTTTTTTCGTTTGAGGCATTTTAACTTCAGGTTTTTGGTTTGAATTTCCTGGTAATGGAATTCATTAGGTGTTGTAATAGTAACAATACAATTAATTGCTGTTACATTTCCGTAAATAGAACCCACAATTGTCGGCTACAGCTTTAAACTGTAGAACTAGTTGATTTTACCAATTTTATTTCAGTGCATGAATCTGATAGCCTGGCAGGCCGAAAGTACTCTGTGCGTACAAACAGACGGCAACCCCACGTATTAAATATTGTAAAAGACAATTTGCAAATCTCGTAAAAAAACCGCATGGCAGAGGCCGAAATCTCCACCGCACACTTGTGAGCACGCAAACACACGTGGGTGAGCCGGAAATCATTAGCAACAAAAGGCCATAAACAAACAGGGCCAAGACAAAGCAAGAGCCTTAACAAGCCCTTAGCGAGTCTGCGAATCCCTCGCTCCGTAGAAAGCCGCAGAAAGCCAGAATGCCAGGCCCAGATGCCTGTAACCTTGAGGAGGCGTGGTTGGGAGGGGGGGTGGCGATATGAAATATTCAATTGCACATGTACGCCAGACGCGTTGATAATAGGGGTTGAGCTAAAAGATCTTGCAGGTTGGTCGTTCGCCTTCCACCAACTGGAATTGACGCTGTAATTAAGGACATCGTCTCACGGGGTGCCATTTCTAAAATAACCACCAGGTAATTAACATTTTGATGTACTTTTTTAGTAGGGGCGGGAGGTAGGAGTGGCTGGGTGGCCATAATTAAAACTTGATTTACGAGCAAGATAATAAATTTAACAATGTAGGTCCCAGAGTGCAGGGAGCATACGACCAGGATGCGGCTCTTTATGTTGTATTTATTTTATTGCAATTTTGATTACGACGCTCGAAAGCATTGGTTTTAATAAACCAATTTTATCTGTTTCTATGGTGAATGCATAATTTGATTTAATTTTTACTGAATTTTTTCATTCAAACGGCCATTTCATTTGTGACAGTTCAAATGCGTGAAATATTTTATTGATGATCTTTTCTCAAGTATTAAGTACCGCGTTTTTCACAGTCGAGGCAATATACCAGTGTTTCTACATAGTTAATTTGAAAAATTTATCATGATAAAATTGCGATATCATTTTGGCAGTTTTTCACCGTCAACAAGACCGATTCCGTCAATAGCCCGATGCCGTCCGTCTCGAGGGAATCATGCTGTGCACGGCAATACATTTTTAATGACAACTTTTTTCGCGAACGTTTATTATGTATTGATTGAGTACGGTTGTGCGGAGACCCATTAATGTTTAAACACTTCAAAATGTGCCTTATTGGCGTGTGCATGTATGATTTATGGGCCCAGCGAGCTGACGTCAATCACGATACACTTCGACCACCCACTCCCACTAGTTCTTTCCGCGGAATAAAGCAATCAGAGCCACCGCAAAGGCAGTCGTTGCCACGGCTCTGGAGCGACAGCTTGAGTAGTGAGAACTCCAATCAAACTTTTCCAATAAAGTCTTTAGCCTAAAGACAGTGGATAAATCAAGCAATCAGGCAGCGAAAAGGGCTGCTCCGTTCGGCTGTGTGAGTGCACACTGTACAGACAGCCTCCAACATAATTTATGGCGTGCTTTAAACTCGCTGCCCGAAACGGGTCCCTGGCGCACAGGAAGGATAATATGGGGCCGACCGAATGAATCGAAAATCAGGCCTGGGCCGAGAAGTTTCCGGCCGAAGTGCGAAATTTAACTTTGTCGATTACACCGTGGAGACCACGTTGCGTATACGTAATAATGGGCCAAACTCAAAACGAAAACAGACAATCTACACGCAGAAGGTTTAACGAGGGAGCTGTGATCGGAGCCTCGGTTACGTGCATAGTTTGATGCTCAGCCGAATAGCTTCGAAAGCGAGGTTGTTGTTAATAAAAAGGGCAGCCAAGCAAATGAAAAATACTTTTCCCAGTCCCACATCCGCACACCGACATGTGTGGGCACGTGGGATGTGGGTGTGCTCGAGTGTGGGCGGCCTGTTGGGCAAATTGACTTAATCTAAAATAAAAGTTTAGTGTTGAGCCGAACGCTCACACAAAGGCCAGCCCAGGCAAACAGATGGTATTTTTTACAGCCACAGAAGGCTGGAGGAGAGGGGAATGGACGAGCTAGTTAGGATCCAGAACGATACGAGGGGGGCAGCATGTTAATTTCCCAGGAAACGCACGATAAAGTTGAATTCTTTTCGAAGAACTATTTGACTTTGGCTAAAGGGTAGATTTCGCCCTAGAGCACGACTCGCTCCTGCCGCCTTGAATCCCACAAATAACAGCCAAACAGTCGTTACATAGATCACATTTTGTGTGGCTTACGCTTAAGTTTGCGTTTACATTTACCTAGGGTTACCATATGCCGAGGGTCCTGGCCGATTCCGAATTAAATCAAATAAAAAGGGAAAAGTTTTAATAAGGAAATAAATTTTACGGAAATGCTGAAAAGGCAGCAAGATTTACGATGCACAAAAGATAAATTTTACAAATGCTCACTCAAACACACATTCACATGCACATGCCAAATGCGCGTTAGCAGGGAAACAAACTCACACTCCCAGAGTAAAAGGCAGAGCCACTGCAAATAAAATGGCAATTCATTTATTACCCCGCCAGTATTTATGGGAAGCAAATATCCAAAGCATACATATTCGACACACATCTGCATAATGTGGGGCAATTACATTTAAAAGATCATAAAAACTGGTGGAGATAATCCCGAAAACCCATTTCCATTTTAACGTGCCTCTAAACAAGAGCTCAAGCTGAGTAATGAGAGCCCCACTCCTTCCGAATGACAAACTGAATTGAG